GACAGTCAAACACGGGGTGGGGGGGGAGGGGGGCGGAGGTGGGGAGGGGGGGGTGAGCCAGGACGGGTGCGTGTGTGCGATGTGTGTGTGCTGGTTACATAGAGAGGATTGGGTGGTTGATTACCTAATGTTTGACTCATCCCCTTACAACGCAGGCTCTGGTTACAGTGGCGCCTCAACCTGACCAACCTGTGCCTTTTTATAACACTAACACTGCCACACACAGACAGTCAAACACATAATGGGGGCGCAGTTCCTCATAAATTAGACCTCACTGTTTGTTTTTATCCAATTAATATAAGAGAATGAATCACATCATCAACAATAAACCACTAATAATAACTGACAATAAGCCTCAGCACATCTCAAACAGGTGCAGAAGAGTGATAACCAAGAGGACATAAATTAACTTTATTTATTTTTTCAACCGTAACATGTGAGATTTAGCCCTGATGATAAACATATGAGGTCGTTGTGGCCTGGAAACACATCTATATGTGGTTTCCACACCTATGGGCTTCTGTCTTGTTGGTAGATGTAGCCAACTTAAGTCAACATAAAGCACTAATCATTAATTTCAAGGACATTTCCCCCCCATCCCTCCGTATCTACTCAGCACAGTGTTGGAGGATGCAGTGGAATACCCTGTCATCATAATGTGAGTGAGCGCACGCTGCCCAGAGCTGAAATATGGTTCTGCTTTAACGCCACGTGTCTTCTGCCATGTCTCAGAGGGATTCACGCTAACTTGTGTAAACACACAAGCACATCACAAAACGTCTCAGAAAGTGTTCTCAGGACTTTCCCCCCCTAAAGCATCAAGTTTCCAGTTTGGTGTTGAGACCATTACCGCCAAATTATTCATATACAAGAAGACAAAACATGCACTTGCAACCCGCCCCCCCTGTAGTCTCTTACACATCTCCATCACGGCACACAGTGAAAACACAGACGCTGGTTTAGCCGACAGACCGTGTGCTTTAATTGCAGAACAAGCAGTGTGTGTGTGTTCGAGAGGCAGAATCGCTTCACCTCCCACCTTGTGCCTATGTTGTGGTGGTGGCCGTTGGGTCGCTGCTGTTGGAGGGAAAGCTGAATACATCCCTCAGAAGGGAAGAATAGTCGACGTTTTTCACTGTAGCCCAAGCGGCGCCAGGCCTGGCGTTCACGTCAAACTGGAGACGACAGGAATACACAAGTCACTGCACAAGTCTGACTACATTTAAATATTTTGTTATTCAGCGTTGCCAATCATTTATTATTTTATACGCCACTTTGTTTTCACAATGTGATGCTGTCCTTTGTTATTGTTTCTCAGTGATAGATATCTCCTTTATTTGTCTTACTCTGCTTTATGTCCTTTATACAGCTTGAAAAGCACCTTCAGATCAGATGTCTGTGTGTAGCAAACGTGCTGTGTAAATAACACTGCTTTGCTTAAAGTTTCAAAATGTAATGCTTGCCCAAACCTCCATTAGACTGATTAAACCTCATACGCTAGGAAACAAAATTACTTGTTTTTTTTTAACATTACAGAACAAATGCAATTGAGCTATTTCTTTCGAGCAGGCCCAGATATTGGTCCCAAGATTATGAAATGTAAAGAATAGAAAGAAAGGAAATAATAGAGATAATATGAAAATTGTCCATACTAAACGGCATATGGCTTGCAGCAAAGGCCAGAAAGGCCCAGAGAGTAGCGAGTCAATCTGGGTCCATCAACATGACATTACTGTTGTGTCCTCACTGAGAGACACAATGTACCTGAGAACCTTTTAAGGAGGGCAAAGTCATTGAGCAGAGACCGAGAGACTAGTTTGGGCTGAGAATCCGGGAAGGCAAAGAGCAGCTGGAAACCGTGACAGAGGAAAATGAAGTAAGCACTGCATCGGTATACACACACTCACACAGCCAAACACACACACACACACACACACACACACACACACACACACACTCAGTCCACTTTCATGCTGTGCAGGCAGGCCTCCCTTTGTTGTCGTGCCATGGTGTATATCTCTCCTGCTCACCTGTTTCTGCTTAGATTTTAGGCTTTGGCAAAGCATGCTAAATCAGCATTACATAGGAAAGATACAAATGCAAGAGAGAGGAACAAAGGAGCTACTTCCTTCCTTTTTGACCACATCTGTGTGTGTGCATGTGTGTGTGTGTGTGTGTGTGTGTGTGTGTCTCCTCTCTCAAGTCCTTTTCTGTGCACAATAAATTGTCCTCCTGTCCATTTGAACATTCCTTCCCACTTACTTGATTCTGCTTTTGGCTCACTTGTCCATTGAGTCATCGCAGGTAGGGGCAAAATTTAGATTGATTTTCAATTAAAAAATCTGTGCGCACACACTGAGAAAGCACCGACTGTGCTTTTCTGATTCACTTTCATCTAAAAGGTTTTTCTCTCTCCCCACTTCTGTGCTACTTTTGTTTTGCATGTTGTACTGCCGCTCCCCTCTCTTACCTTTAACGTGTCTTCGGGCATTACTGTGGGAGCAAGGTGCTCTATCCAGTTAATGCCAGCCAGGAAGGCATGGTAGTCAATCTCGTCCCCATCTGCAAACCTACAGCAGACATGCATCCAGATGTGAAACAGGTGCATACTGTTTAGAGCTTCCACTTGATTTAAATGAAGCCATTTTGCTCTACTTCCAATACATCATCTTTTAGTGGTATTCCATCTAAATGCTGATTCGGAGATATTTCAACCAAGCCAAGAAAAAAATTCTGGGCAAAGAACTGGACTTCACTTTACAATGAATGACATATTTCAAACCACTCTGAAAATGCAGGGGAACCTTGAACAGTTCTACCCTGAACTCTGCTGTGATTGGTGGGCTCTTACTTGCTGAGCAGACCTCCGAGCAGCTTCTCAGAAAGGGGAAGGTGGAAGCCCTTACAGATGGTCCTCGTCTCCTTGGTGGAGAGACGACCGGTCCTAGAGACACAAAGAAAAGGAGAGACATCGGCATCAAACGTATAGAAAAAGGAAGCGAAAGCAAAACTGGGGGTTTGGACCATAGACTGTATATAAAGGATGACGTGGCTTTACTTTTGCACATTGAAGATGGAGAAACGTTGTCCAGCTATATATACAGTCAATGTCTGGCCACTTGTAGTGGTTTTTTTTTAATCAAGCTCCAGGAAAATACACGAGCTGAGGCTTGAATCTCACATAAGCAAATATGTCATCAGCAGCACATGAGTGGGCCCTTGTTGGGTTTTTAAAAAGCTATCATTTTTATATGTAAATTTGTAGAAAAAATGTTCAAACTGAATTTGTATGAAAACAGTGTGTGTGTGTGGGTGTGTGTGTGTGTGTGTGTGTGTGTGCCTGAGTGTGAAACAGAAGGTGCTTGTCCTCTAAGACCAGAGTTGTTTTCCACAGTGATGCCAGGCAGCCCACAGGCCCATTCTTGTCATGCCATCTTCATTACAGCAATGCTGATGAACAATTTGGCACCAACTCAGAGTGTCAACGCAGCCACATGAACATACAAGTCAGCTTAACCTTGTGGCACTGTGTGGCACCATCCATTTCCGCTGACCTCACCCAAGTTAAAGGTCTACTACGTATGGATGGCCGGGTCCATGGAGCGTACAGGCATTAAACATGTGATGCTGTGCACGAATAAAGAAGGAAGGCACAAAGACAGCGAGAGACCGAGTATGTGTGTGTCCTCTGATCTGCAGAGCTACGTGCCATACAGGTCTTCAGGGTCCATCTGGTTCCAATGCTCCACTCTCACACTACTGGAACTAATCGTTGCCCTGAGATATGGGGCCACTGACTGCACGATTGATGTCTTGTTGTGACGCTGCCTGCGTGTGTGTGTGTGTGTGTGTGTGTTTCTGCTACAGTATTTTGTCTTAAGCTAAGATCTGTGTGTGTGTGTGTGTGTGTGTGTGTGCGTGCGACCGCCTACTTTTGTAGGTCGCGGCTTGTGAAGGCTTTGTCCAAGTCAGGGAACTCTTCAAAGGGCTTCTTCTTGAGGAAGTCCTGGGCCACAGCCAGCATCAGGCCCACGTCGGCCTCAGGCTGCTCGCGCTCTGAGAAACTTCGGCCCAGCACCAGCACCTCGTGCTCCGACAGTCCGCAGTCCAGGCCTGTTAGCAGGCCCCTGTGGCACATACAGGCTTATAAATATATTAACATACACAATCTGATAGGACGTAACCACATCTCACAGTCCTAACTTTAAACCAAGAATGTATAGAATTGCTTCCTTTTGTCACTTCCTCTCGTAATATTGACATCCTTTGATCTTTATCGTAATCACCACATGCATTTTGTATCTCAGCAAGTATAACACTATCTAAGCTTCCCGCCACCTGTTCGATTTGTTCTTCCTGGTTAAACACATGATCGTTAACATTATAATGTTAAGAGGAATTAAACTTCATGATCAGATCTTAAATATGTACAGGTGGACTTAAATTTGAGTCATGGCTCCATCCAAGTAGACTCATATTACTAGATTATTGCAACATGGGGTGTGCTGCACATATTGGCTGTATTACTGTACCTGAACGACTCGTAGGAAATGAAGCCAGTGTTGCTAGGGTCACTGAGAGTCAGAAACTTCCTGATCTCACTCTGTTTCTCCTCCGGAAGGGATCGTAGTTTGCTGAGGACGTTTCCCATGTTGGCTTTGGGGAACTTTAGACATTTACACACAAACATGCAAAGGGTATAGCATTACGTAACACCAAGGAACGAGGGCTGTGTAATCATGTTAGCTCTGGCAACCTGCTCCAAAGACCACCAGTGTTTATAATACCCAAAACCTTTGATACAAAACCCCACATAAACCTTAGAAAACCACAGGAAAGCAATATCCCTGCTGCAGTTCCCTCCTTACCTCCTCAGCATGTCGCTCCATGTAGTTGAGGGTGTATTCATCCGCATCCAGAACCTGGAAGTGCATACCGCTGAAGCTGAGAGTAGCGCCGACGTACAGATCCTGAGCTTTAAAGTACTCAGACATCTCGCTCTTAAACAGCTCCTGGCCGGGCTTTTTTACACGACCACGCTGCAGGAACTTACCAGTAAGCATACCTGGGTCATGATGTGTGTGAGAGGGAAGGAAGATGTTGAAACATTACTCATTTTATCAATTTCAATGACTCTTTTCACTTGGTGCTTGGTCCGCAGTTTGAATGCATTGGCCTTTTTTTCATGTTGGTTTTATACTTTTAAAATTGAATTCAAATCTAAATTGAATCAATACGTATACTGTTGCATCATGTTACATCATGTCAGGGGTTGGATATCTCATCCTTGAACCCATGACATACTATTCATCTTACATTGAAAGAAAATACTTTCAAATACTGATTTACAATGATGGGAATATCTCCATCCCTGAAAAAATGGGTCTGTGAAATAAACGTCATCGATTTCATCAGTTTTCAAAAGAGTTTGGAAATGGAAACTGAGTCTGAAAAACCGAATGTTTACCACGAGAGTTATAGATTTGTATGTCAAGTCCGAGGAGCAGGAGTGGTGCAGCTTTGGGCCAAATTGTTTTACCTGAGTTCTTCTGTGGTGTTTCAAACATACAGATGGAGTCATCGCAGAGAAAGAAGGAGATGGTGAACATCCTGTCTCTGTCAAAGGGATCGGTGGTGACCATCTTGGCACAGAAATTCAGCACACTGCAACTGGAGGGGAGGGGGGGGGGGGGGGGGAA